CGGGCATGCTCTTTTCGTTGCTTAGGGTCTAAAGCTTTGAAGTGCTCGCATTTGTAGAGAGGTCCACAGGTGTCTCCACTAGGACAAGCATTCGAGTTTACATTATTCTGAGCACGAGAGTTTTGTTGATCTCCCTGATGGTTAAAGCGCTGATTTTGATTTCCTACACCATTTGTAGTAAAACCATTGAAACGGGAACCACTAGGGTGTTTAGCGTTTCCAGAAGAATTGTTAAAATTGTTATTGTTTTGGTTTCGGAAACCTGTCGGAGGCATGTCGCGACACGCCTGTGCGTACCGTTGAAACCATTGTGCTAGATGTCTCAAGGAGGGTTGATCGTAGTCTTTGTCGATGACGAAGCGATTCCATTCTAATCTCACAGGGTCGGGAAGCTTTGCCAGAGCAGTGTTCAAGTTTGTTGTAGAACAAATATCGTGAACAAAATCAAGTTGCTCAAAAGTGTCCACTAAAGTTAGGAGAAAAGCAGAAAACTGCATGTATGATTCTGGTTGAGCCAGATTTGGAGGTTTGAAATTTGCAAGACGTTGCAAAAAAGAGTTGACAATTCTATTGGTATTGCCAAAGTTTTCACGAAGACGTTGTAGTGATAGTTCGTATGTGTCGCCGTTTGCACCATAACCAGCTATCATTAGTTTAGCTGGGCCAGTTACCAATGATTGAAGATGGATCATCTTTTCAGTTGGAGACATATTAGAATTATGAATCGATGATACGAATACACCATACCAGTGCAACCAATAGTTGGGATTGCCATTGAAAATTGTAGGCTTCAGTTTTGGCACTGATCGACTGAATGTAGTAGAAGTGTCGCTTGAATTAGTTGCCAAAGCTCGATTGTTGTTGTTAGGAGGGTTTGCAGCACTAGCTTGTTGTGAGCTGTGGTTAGGAACATCACTAGCAAATGGATTTGAAAATGATTGGTCGCCTTGAAATGGCGCCGAAAGGTTGTCGTCAGCGGCAGCTGTTCTTGCATTGCCTTGAGTATTGTTGCTCATGGTTATAAGGTTGTTGTTTGGTATATCCATTATGTTTGCAGTCGGCATGGAGGTTGCGGTTTCCTGTGGGAAAATTGAAGTAGCATTTTCTTGAGCGCTGTTATTTGGAATTGTAGAAGTAGCAGGATTTGATACTTGTTTTTTCAAATATTTTTTCACTTTCATTGAAAATACTCGGATTTTCTGTTTCAACTGTACTGTCCAGTGAGAATGTTCTTCAAAATCGTGTTCAGAACCAGCCTGTAACATTTGATCGTTCAGGGTATCAAGTTTTTGTTGGAATTGAGACAATTCAGTGAACGTTTCATTGATGAGTTCAAGATCATCTTCTTCCTCGTAGATGTTGTTTTCGAGCATGTCGATCAAAGTATTGATCTCCATTTCGTGATGACGTCGAAGCGAAACCAGTTTTCGAACGCCAGTCTCTTGAACGTTTTGATTGGTATCTTGCGTTTGGGTACCATTTTGTTCCGAAGGATCGCTGTCATTGTTTTGCGTCGTTTTATTTCTACCGGATGGGGCCATACCTTGAACCAGGAGACGTAAACCAATACCTACCAACTTATACCAGTATATGAATTTACCTTTACCAACCTACCAACTTATACCGAATACCACCGATGCTCGTAAGAAGGAGCGAAATAATGGATAAATTTTAACCAATTACCACTGTACCTTACCACTTGTACCTACCTCCGAGGGAAAATTGAGCGGTCGTTCAAAGTGTCCTCGGTATTAACAATTAACTGCGATTTTAAAGCTAGTCCAAGAACCTACCTGGTCCTACCAGCCTACCGACCCTACCTACCTACCAATTACCAGTATAAACGGCAAAAAAAACCGGGTGCAAAGATTAGCACCAATGAGTGTTGACCTCCCAGAGGACAACTGAGGATGACGTATTTACCTACCTACCTGTCGCTATTTAGCAGACGACCGAATTGTGATTGCTGACCTCCCAGAGGACAACTAAAGTTGATGTACCTGTTTACCTACCTGTCCTAATACCGTAGATTTATCCCTGTGCAATAAAATTTGCACTTATACCAGTTGACCTCCCAGAGGACAACTTGCCTTTATCGCTGTAGCGTAGCGAATGAGACGAACTAGAGTTGTTCGAAGCAGTTGATGAGCTAAACGAAGCTCGAATGTAGCCACGAACCCAGTGAGGCTCGAAGCAGCAGAGGAAATGAGCTCAGGTAAAGCTCGACAGGAAGCAGCCAAGAACCGAGAGGCTCAAAGCAGAAAATAAGGTGAGCTAAGACGAAGCTCGAATGTAGCCACGAACCCAGTGAGGCTCGAAGCAGCAGAGGAATGAGCTCAGGTAAAGCTCGACAGGAAGCAGCCAAGAACCGAGAGGCTCAAAGCAGAAAATAAGGTGAGCTAAGACGAAGCTCGAATGTAGCCACGAACCCAGTGAGGCTCGAAGCAGCAGAGGAAATGAGCTCAGGTAAAGCTCGACAGGAAGCAGCCAAGAACCGAGAGGCTCAAAGCAGAAAATAAGGTGAGCTAAGACGAAGCTGGAATGTAGCCACGAACCCAGTGAGGCTCGAAGCAGCAGAGGAAATGAGCTCAGGTAAAGCTCGACAGGAAGCAGCCAAGAACCGAGAGGCTCAAAGCAGAAAATAAGGTGAGCTAAGACGAAGCTCGAATGTAGCCACGAACCCAGTGAGGCTCGAAGCAGCAGAGGAAATGAGCTCAGGTAAAGCTCGACAGGAAGCAGCCAAGAACCGAGAGGCTCAAAGGAGAAAATAAGGTGAGCTAAGACGAAGCTCGAATGTAGCCACGAACCCAGTGAGGCTCGAAGCAAGCGGAATAAGTGAGCTCAGATAAAGCTCAAACAAATGTCATGTCGAAGAACAATGACGAAAATTGAGAGTCCAAAAAGAACTCGAATCAGGTAACCAAGGAGTCGGGCAATAAGAAAGCAAAAGTGTCAGAAAACACTTGAAGGAAGGAAGCAATGAAGGAAGCAAAGGGCCAAAAAAGGCTCGGAAGGAATATACAAGGCGTCAGATAAGACTCGGAAGGAATGAATGAATGAGTAGGGAAAGACTCGGAAACGAACAACAAATGGGTCGAGAAAGACTCGGAAAGGAATGAAACATTGAGTCAGAAAAGACTCGGAAAGGAACGCAAAAGGCAATAAAGACTCTGAACGGAATGAAAAATGAGTCGGGAAAACTGAAGTTTTTTCATAAATGAGTCACAAAAGACTCGGAATAGCAAAGCAACAAAAAACGAATTGAAAGGGGAAAATTGATGAAAATAACTTAATACATTATTCAAAGTAAATGAAGCTATGAACAATTGAAACGTTTAAAGTTTACATGGGTTAGAAATCAAGAGCAATAATTTATCTTTTTTTTTTTAAATGTAAATCAAATAAACTGCGATTAACTGTAAATAAATGAAATAATATTGTAATGGGGAAGTATTATAACAAGATATAATAAACCGCAGACGTAAAAACTGGGGAGGAAAAACAGTAACTAACCATAAATTTTTGGTTGTGGGGGAATGAAAAACACAGTGTAACGAGCTAATCAAAACTTTTTCGGGGCGCCAATATAATAGTTGGGTAAATTACCTGAGGAGAGTAGTACACCAATTGTTAGTAAGGGTAGTTTTAAGGGTTGAGTCAAAGGAGTTCCATGCAGTTGGGCATCAGTTGAGTAAGTACATGAAAAATAATACAATAGTAAATCAGGGATAAAACTAAGGTAAATATAATATCATAAATAGGGATATTATATTACATGGTACGGGGAATACTAAAAGGCGAACGTTAGAAAAAGGGGAACTGTTAATAAGGGGGTTATTCAGAAAAGTTGATATTAACCCCGAGTTTTCGTATAAATTGAAACATTATTTTACCTGAAAGTTTGTCATTTCCTTGTAAGTCATGCTGTTTTTGAAAAGTTGAGAGAAACGAGTGAGTCAGCTTGGCTGTAATGTCAAAAGTCAAGTTGAGAGAAAGGTGACCTTAATTGTTTACAATTTCTTTCTTGATCCGCACAAACATTTCGGATAGTTCGATCACTTTCATAAGTGTTTCTTCACTCGATGCAGATAATTGACCGCTTGGGGGTGAGGCAACATTACACAGCCCAGAAAAAAAAACAAGAAAAATGCACGTAGTTCTTAAACAGGGACGCATCAGCGGTTTGCCGTGATGAGCTGTACCGGTCGTATGTTGGTCCTTTCCCTCGAGGATAAATGGTCTTAAAGCTTAATTCTGTTTTTGCTAAGATGACTATTCTCTTTGAATGCTAGCACGCTGCTTTGTTGAATTAATTGGAAAAATCTGTTGTCACAGTAATGACCTTTTTTTGACTTTTTAATCATCAGCTCAAAGATTCCTTCTGACTTACATTTAACACAAAATCGAAGCTGTGTTTCGTAAAATTAGTGAGAAAACGACAAAAAATCTCATAAAACTTTTGCTATGAGTCGGACTACAACCTGCGACCTCGAGTCTTGGAGTCTAGTGTCACTACTGCTCAGCCAAGGACGCAAACATTCAGCAAACACTCACCACACAAAGCAGAGAAAAGGTCCTATGAGCTTTCAAATGCTACAGATCGTGATTATAGCACTTTTATATGCGAGTTAGAATGGAAAAAAGTTGAGTCATACTACTACACTACGCTCACTAGCTCTTAAGTTTAATCAATTTTTCTTTGGATGGCTAATCGAAGGGCTTCATTTATTGTTTCGCTCAAACTTGTCGTGATTTCCTCAGCTTTCTAAGATTGTAGCTATGGGACTCTGATTCGTCTTTCATTTTTCTCGCTTTTCGGAATGGGCGTTTGGTATTGGAACTGCAACTCAGGAAGATTTGATATCGTTTGATCATTTGTTTGGTCATTCATCGTTCGTAAAGAAAACTATTAAATAAGTTAATCACAGCGACCAGGCTGATTACAAAATGTTTCAGTTCCTTTTACAAAGTATTATTTCAAAAAACGTTATTCAACTCACTTCTGCACGCGTCTATCAATTTTGACCTGCCAGTGGCAGATCTCCCGTCTCTCTTGATCAGACTGGCTGACTCTTCTATCAACTGGGATGACGTCACTAGAGGGTCCAGAGCCCTGGGCATCTCCCTCTTCATGAATGAGTCATCGGGAGAGGCTGAGTCACTCTGCTGCTGGCCTGCCTACACACAACATGAGCTCAATTTTCACCAGATGAACAAGAAAAACGATGAATTTTTAACGTCCATTTTTCATTAGCTAGGAAAAATAAAGGAAGTAGATTATATCTATTTAACTTTTGAGACAAAGATTGGTCACACATTTTTGTAATTGCGACGATTTAGCAACGATAAAAGAAAAGCATGAGAGTAAATTACGTGAGGCCATAAAATAATTTGTTCTGACCTTGACTAGGTTTGAGATATGTTTTCGGACGTCGTTGCATGGCTCTGATATGTCTGGAATCGAGTGTCCCTTCTCCCCAAACGAGTGCAGCTCAATGAACGTCTGCACCTGCAACCAACAACAAACCGTTTAGAACCAGTCAAAATGATACTAATTCTGGCTTTGAAGAGGAAGACCAGGAATACAATCATCCTAAAAGAAAATTAACTCAATAATTAAGCACTCTATAATTAATTTAACCTTCTTAATCGCCAACTTACCGAAATAATGGAATCGAAAACTTAAAGTTTACCTTGCAACCTCAGAAGTCCAATATTAACACAGAGGCAAAGCTGCGCTTCGCACTATTTGCGATAAATTAGTGAATCACCATGATTGCAAGCAGATAAATCGACAAATCAAAAATTTTGAACAACATGCAAAAAATCCGGAAAAAAATCTTGAGGAACTCAACATGCACCAATAAAATGTAATAAATGGTAGTTGCAATGTTAGGAAAAACTGAGCCGTCAAAAAGAGCAGATGGACGAAATTTTTAGTTTGCAAAAACAAGCAGGTCGCGGTCGGACTCTAGCTGAAGCCCTTCATCATCTCAAGCATGAGTGTTACTTTGAAATTCTTATAATGCAAAGGAAATCGGTGTAACCATTTCACACGCGAATTCTGTGAAGGAAACTTTGTACGGAAAAATAAGTATTGTACACGGTTGCAACACTCTTGCTATCGCAAGGCTAATCAAAACTATTTTCAGAGACATGAAAACTTAAAGAATATATTTTTCCTTTTATAAACAATATATCAGCATAATTAAATTTGCCACATTTAAAGCAGGAACGGATAGACAACGGGACCTGTTGGTCCACTAAAAGTCTACCCTTCTATTCAAATGAAACATCTCTAATGAAACAAATCAAATTAAACAATGCGAGCAAATATATTTTTATTTAAATACAAAAGCTACAGCTCGTGAAAAAAAATTTTATATCTATTTATAAATTTATGTTGACATTAACTAACTACTGAACTTAACAGTCCTAAACTTAACAATATTTCCAGGGCGCTGTAATATTATATGTGAAATTTTTTTTTTTTTAAGTTTTTCGAAAAAAATTAGTGAGAAAAATCCAAAAAAAATCAAAAAACCTCGATATCTCGAAAACTAGAAGGATTTGGGAGGTCATTTTTTTACACAAAAAAAGCTGATATATAGCTGTTAGTCCTGTAGCATGCAACCAACGGGTATGGGTTTTAAATTTTTTTATAAGCCAAATATATGTTTCACTAATTCATGGTTTTGTACCAGGTATATTTTCAAAGAATGGTAAATTGCCGAAATTTCTGAAAAAGAACAACTTTGACGTGTGCAGGTATCAAATTCAGAACCCGTAGCTTATTAAAAAGTTTACAAGCGCGATATCGAATCGAGAAGCGCTCAATTTTGCGTTTACAAAATGCTTCGAACAGAAGGCTGCTATCAGAATTTCTAGTAGCTCTTTTTGCATTTTGAAAAACAAATAAATCATTCAGAAAGCTATCATTATGAACACCAATAACTGATTTAAATAGCTCATAGAGATGATACTCATAAACGGTTAACAAACTATATTTTTCAAAAATATCATTACTACAATCTCGACGTTTTCTGAAAAAAATGAATTTGAGGATTTTCTTTTGTAAAACATAAAGTTGTTCCAGCTGCGAATAGCTGCAACATCCATAAATTAAAATGCCATACTGGAGAATGGGAACGACATTGCTACTGTAGTATTCGATCATTTGAGACCTCGGCATGTAGTGCCGTAGCTTTGAAACTATACCGCATTGTTTACTAAGTTTCTTTTTGACGAAATCGATATGACTTTTAAAAGAAAATTTGGAGTCTATGTGAATGCCTAAATATTTACAAACAGGTTTCGTATTTATCGAGCAAGAGTTTAACTGAAATAAATGATTGGAAGCACTTAACTTTACATTCATTTGAACTGTTTTGGATAGGTTAATCACCAATTTATTTGCATGTAGCCAGTTATTTAAAGACGTCATGTCTTTTTGAACGTCAATTATTTGACAACCTATTGATGTTAGATTCGTATCGTCTGCGAATAGCAAAACTTCCGATGTTTCGCATGCTTTAGGGAGGTCATTTATATATAATAGAAAAAGCAAGGGACCTAAAATTGAGCCTTGTGGTACACCACATTCTATTTTACTCCAGCTAGATGAAACACCATTTACTACAACTCGCTGTATGCGATTACTGAGATATGAGCTCAACCATTTTAAACAGTTACCCCTAAACCCATACATATCCAATCTGTATAGCAAGATATTATGGTCAATAGTGTCAAAAGCTTTCTTCAAGTCAAGGAAAAAACTAAAAATTTCATTCGAAGAAGGATACATTCTAATTCTTTCGGTAAGTTCAGCAAGTGCATCAATTGTGCTATGCTTATTACGAAAACCAAATTGTTTTGCATAAAAGAGAGAAAAATTCTCTAAATAAGAATAAATACGGTTATACATAATGCGCTCATAGACATTTTACTCCAAACAATTAAAAGTGAAATTGGTCTATAATTGTTCTCATCAAGTTTTGATCCATCTTTATGAAGCGGCAGTACTTTCGCTTTACAAAGTTCTTTAGGAAACACGCCTTTTGTGAATGATAAGTTGATTAAGAAGCTTAGATATGGTGCCACGACTTTCGCTGAAGTTTTCACAATAAGGTTACTGATGTTATCATCACCGGACGAGCTTTTATTATCTAAGTAATTTAGGACTTTAAAAACTTCTGTTTCGCATGTTTTTTTCAGAAGCATGGAATATGGAACATATTCAACGTTAAACCTATCAACATTAGGAACATCATTTTGAAGTCCTTTTCCAACTGTGGTGAAAAAATAGTTAAATTTATCAGCAACATCTCTGTCTGTTGCATTATCGTTTTCATCAATACATGATTGTAATGGAGGAATCTTGCTGTTTTTGTTACTTTTACCACTGATATCGTTTAAAATTTGCATTATCGATCTCTGTCTGTTGCATTATCGTTTTCATCAATGCATGATTGCAATGGAGGAATCTTGCTATTTTTGTTACTTTTACCACTGATATCGTTTATGAGTATCATCTCGATTAACATAGAGATGATACTCATAAACGGTTAACAAACTATATTTTTCAAAAATATCATTACTACAATCTCGACGTTTTCTGAAAAAAAATGAATTTGAAGATTTTCTTTTGTAAAACATTAAGTTGTTCCAGCTTCGAATAGCTGCAACATCCATAAATTAAAATGCCATACTGGAGAATGGGAACGACATTGCTACTGTAGTATTCGATCATTTGAGACCTCGGCACGTAGTGCCGTAGCTTTGAAACTATACCGCATTGTTTACTAAGTTTCTTTTTGACGAAATCGATATGACTTTTAAAAGAAAATTTGGAGTCTATGTGAATGCCTAAATATTTACAAACAGGTTTCGTATTTATCGAGCAAGAGTTTAACTGAAATAAATGATTGGAAGCACTTAACTTTACATTCATTTGAACTGTTTTGGATAGGTTAATCACCAATTTATTTGCATGTAGCCAGTTATTTAAAGACTTCATGTCTTTTTGAACGTCAATTATTTGACAACCTATTGATGTTAGATTCGTATCGTCTGCGAATAGCAAAACTTCCGATGTTTCGCATGCTTTAGGGAGGTCATTTATATATAATAGAAAAAGCAAGGGACCTAAAATTGAGCCTTGTGGTACACCACATTCTATTTTACTCCAGCTAGATGAAACACCATTTACTACAACTCGCTGTATGCGATTACTGAGATATGAGCTCAACCATTTTAAACAGTTACCCCTAAACCCATACATATCCAATTTGTATAGCAAGATATTATGGTCAATAGTGTCAAAAGCTTTCTTCAAGTCAAGGAAAAAACTTAAAATTTCATTCGAAGAAGGATACATTCTAATTCTTTCGGTAAGTTCAACAAGTGCATCAATTGTGCTATGCTTATTACAAAAACCAAATTGTTTTGCATAAAAGAGAGAAAAATTCTCTAAATAAGAATAAATACGGTTATACATAATGCGCTCATAGATTTTACTCCAAACAATTAAAAGTGAAATTGGTCTATAATTGTTCTCATCAAGTTTTGATCCATCTTTATGAAGCGGCAGTACTTTCGCTTTACAAAGTTCTTTAGGAAACACGCCTTTTGTGAATGATAAGTTGATTAAGAAGCTTAGATATGGTGCCACGACTTTCGCTGAAGTTTTCACAAGAAGGTTACTGATGTTATCATCACCGGACCAGCTTTTATTATCTAGGTAATTTAGGACTTTAAAAACTTCTGTTTCGCATGTTTTTTTCAGAAGCATGGAATATGGAACATATTCAACGTTAAACCTATCAACATTAGGAACATCATTTTGAAGTCCTTTTCCAACTGTGGTGAAAAAATAGTTAAATTTATCAGCAACATCTCTGTCTGTTGCATTATCGTTTTCATCAATGCATGATTGCAATGGAGGAATCTTGCTGTTTTTGTTACTTTTACCACTGATATCGTTTAAAATTTTATATGTCTGCCTTGAGTCTCCTATACAGTTTTTGAATTTATTCCAATAATAATTCTTTTTAGATAATTTTATTTCTTTCTCAAAACGATCTCTTAAACTTCTGAACGTTTGAAGCAGTTGATAATCATTTTGATTCAACTTCCATTTTTTGTGTGCATTATTTCGCTTTGTTCTAAGGTTTTTAAGTTTATTTGTGTACCAGGCGGGTTGCTTTGTGACCAAATTTTTCTTGGTTTTTAATGGTGCAAACATACTCAATACCTCTTCGAAAGATTTTGCGAACAAATTGAAAGCTGCATCTGCATCATTCGTTTCAAAAATTACTATTTTATAAGAGGCCAATTTACTTTCCGCAATTTTCAAAAATTCTTCAACTTGGCTCCGACTTTTTAGGAATGATGTATCGCGAAACGGAATTTCATTATTAACAATTTGACACTTTATGACCCACTCCAAGTGTATTGGATAATGATCTGATAAATGTTCACTATTTAGTACCATTGAATGAGGTTCAGTTAAATTGTCGAAAATGAAATGATCCAAACAAGTTGAAGAGGTGGCTGTAACGCGAGTTGGTTCACGACCGTTTATCGAAAAACCATTTGAATGAATACAATTTAAATAATTTTGGCTCAGTAAGTTATCAGGTATTATATCAATGTTAAGATCACCACAAAGAATGAACGGATGATTTGCACTTTTGGAATTTTCCAAAAACTCATCAAGCCTATCAATGAATTTCATTTTGTTTGATTTTGGTGGGTTATAAATCACACATAATGAGAATTTATAGCCATTTTTTAAGATATCGACCGTTAAGCTTTCTTCTGAAAATGAATCAAGTTGATTCAGCAAGCAGCATGTGTTTCTTGCTTGAATCATTACACCACCACCTGGTGTTTCGCGATTTTTTGTAAAATACTGATTATAACTTTTCGGCAGTGATTGAACCTATCCAAACCCTTTCCTAACTAAGGTCTGGTTGCAGCCCCTTTTTGAACTCCTATCTATAAAACAAAAGACCCAAACTTCCATTCAAACTGCCCCTAGTATACTTGCCAATGCACCACTTTAAACCTTTTCAACTGTTCTAAAAACACCACTACCTTCACTCCCATAGACTTGTCGCTTCGGCCGACTGAAGTTGCGAAGTATCTGAAACTCCGGTTTGAGCATGCCGGACGCGCCCCCTCGGGGTTAACAACGCCAACAGCAAACGTATAAGAAACGCGTCAGTGACAAAATTACATTTAACTTGCGGCAAGTTTAATTTACATCCTCATTGCAAAATTAATGAAAAAAACTCATACCAAAAACAAAAAAATGGTTAGGTTTAGATTTAGTTTATTTCTGAATGAGAAATTGAACTAACCTGGAAGGAGACTGGCTCCAAAATGGACTGAATATCAGTAGTGGGGAATTTCATCACATTTCTGAAACAATCAGAACCACTGCCGTCATTAGTATCTCTACAATCCCCATCGAAACCAAGCGCCAAATCTTCAGACGAGCATCCATAGTAATCGCTAGCGCCTTGTTCTTTGTATCCATCGCCGGCACCGATGTAAACTAATATCGAAGAGCTTAGCATCAGCGGGATTTGAACTTATATGTTAACTAAATGATACAATAGTATTATGAGTTTGTATTGAATGGCTTCACTTTGATAATTAGACTAAAAATTGACCAACCCTTTCTGATATAAAGTGATAAAAAATAAATGCCAGCAATGATTTCACATGTGCTAAAATTGATAATCATGTCACCCAGTTGTCGTTCTATACGTTCATCTTTTCATAACTATTTTCAACACAATCCGAAAAACCTGAGTTAAGAAAAACAATTACAAACGGATGCAAGGAAAAATTCAGAATGTTCCGACGCACAACAATACCCAAAGCACGAAAAAAAGGACACCAGGTTGATGTGAAGTAGCTTAGAATGCTCCGACCACATTAATAAAAAAACAGTCGTTTTTTGTGCACGATTTGATGAGAGAACTAAACGAACACGTAGAAAGTAAGTGAATAAGGCGTAATCCACAACAGTTGTTTTCGAAAAATGATTAACCAACAATAAAAATTGAAGAAAAAAATTCCGAAAAACTTATTCTCCTTTTTTGCAGAATCGCTTTTGATTTAAAAATTGTTTAATAGCAAAAGACACCCTAAAACTATCTTTGCCGGAGTAAAACTATGCTTTGAAAAACTTAAATGAATTACTCGTTCGAAAATAAATTAAAACTCAAAAAATTTCAGACCGGTTTTTCTATACACTGGAAGAACTTTAAGTTTTCTAATGTTCGCATCACGACTGGGCTTTAAAATGATATATCTCTCAACCATTTCCCAAATTTTTCGTGGTAGCTGATTTTCCTTGGGGAAAAGTTTATAAAACTAAAACACTCATTTCTGTGGTCGGAGTAAAAAAGAATGTTCACCACAAAAAATAGAACACACCAAAAATTTGTATATACCTTTTGCTCGTTTTCATTTGCGTCTTCGAGCTAAGTCGTTGTAAAGAGCAGACTCTCAGTCAGAATGGATTCTGTATTCCCTTAGATGGGGATTTTTATTTGAGCGGCGGCCTGTTAGCTTGTTTCAATTGGACTAGCGTTTAACGCCCCTCCGGTGCTTCGAATTTTTTCGACAACTCATGAATAAACCGCACTCAATTACAGGGTTGGTAATTTCAAACTTATTAATTTGTTTTAATTCCCATTTTGAAAAAACATAAAAGCGATCTCTCGAAAACTTTATGGGCCTCTGGAGAAATTGGGAACCCAGATTTGCAGCCACTAGGAGTCCCTGAGAGCACCCTACTTTAGGGTTAAAAATTCCAGGTTTCGTGAACTTTTTTGAACGTTGCATGTTGCTGTCGCACGTTGCAAGACTTATAACTCCTGAGAGTACCCTGACAGCACTCAACTACAAAATAAGGAACTTCAATTTATGAAAAAAAAAATATTTAGATTTTCTGATTTTTTTCGATTATCACAAAAACGTCATATCTCGAAAAGAACAGTGATTTGAATAGTCATAGTTGGAGGCAAGATTTGCAACTCCTTTGAATACTCTGACAGCACCAATTACGGGGTTGGCAATTTCAAATTTTGAAAAAATAATGAACTTAAGTTTTCTGAAAAAACCACAAAAAACGTCACATCTCGAAAACTACAACTATTTGAGTAGTCATATTTGGAGTTAAGATTGGCAACTCTTGAGAGTACTCTAACAGGACCCAATTATAGGGTTGGGAATTTCAGATTTTGAAGAAAAAAAAATAATTTAATTTTTCTAAAAATGTTTTTTTTAAAAACCACAAAAAACGTCATATCTCCAAAACTACAAAGAATTGAGCAGTCATATTTGAAGGCAATATTCACCATCGTAGAGCATACTCTGATAGGACCCAACTACCGGGTTGAGAATTTCAGATTTTCCAAAAGAAATTAATATAAGTTTTCTGAAAATTTTTTGAAAAAAAATCACAAAAAAAAACGTCATATCTCGAAAACTATAAAAATTTGAGCAATCATATTTGGAGGCAAGATTCACAATCCCTGATAGTACGCTGACAGTACCCAACTACAGGGTTGGGAACTTCAAGTTTTTAAAATTATTTTGTAATTTGAGTTTTCTGAAAATTTTTGAAAAAAAAACACATATCCAAAAAACTAGCAAGATTTGAGGCAAGGTCATAATTTGGGGCAAGGTTCGCAACCCATGGAGAGTACTCTCACAGTTTCCAAGAACAGGATTGAGATCTTCAAAATTTTGAAATTTGAGTTTTCTGAAAATTTTTGAAAAAAAAACACAAAAATCGTCTCATCTCTCGTCTTATCTCGTTAACTAAAAGGATTTGGCCATTCAAAATTGGAGGCCAAAATCATAACCCCTGAGGTTAAGCTGACAGCACCCAACTACAGGTAGGCAATTTTAAATTTTGAAAAAAAAATTAATTTGAGTTTTCGAAAAAAATTTTGAAAAAAAACACACATAAAACGTCATATCCAAAAAACTAGCAAGATTTGAGGCAAGGTCATAGTTTGAGCAAGGTTCGTAACCCCCGAGAGTACCCTGACAGCGCCGAACTACAGGGTGAGAAGTTCAAAAATTGAAGAAAAAAAAAAATAAAATATATTTTCTAGAAAGTTATATTTTCTAGAAAGTTCTTATTCATGTATGAAGGCCAGAATCGCAAAAGCTGAGAAAACCCTGACAGCATTCCTTTTTTGTGCGGCTTATTCTAAACTCGGTGAAATAACCACTAAAATCAAACTGGAAAATCAAAAAAAAATCTTAACCATTGCAAAATACGATAGAGCTAAACGTGCAAAAATCTTTCGTTAAACATGCAAAAATATTACGTTGAAAAAGCTTAAACATGGCGATATAGTGAAGCCCGCATTTAAAAATATAATAGATAGATATATAGATTGTGTAAGATGCTTGTGTAAGATATTTTCTCGGATGAATCATAACACTGCTTTAGCCGCATTTGCCTACTTCGTCTCCAGCAGCAGCAGCAAAACGAAAGGAAACAGTTGCCCGACTAAAGCAGCACGCAATAACAAAACTGGAGCTTCAGCGTTCAGAGCTCATTCATCAAAACTCATCAATCGTGAAAATCAACATGTTTCATGAGGACAGACGGCCCGACAGCACTTCAATGGATTCAAGAATGGACAAAAGGCCAGCAAATTATCAGCTCATCGAAGTGCAGAAATTTTGGATTGAACTACAGTGTCTCAGTGGAAACATTGCCTAGGACAGCTCAACTCAGCCGACGACGGAACAAGAGAAGCACCCTTAGTAGAACTCCTCAACAATTCCAAATAAATTACAGGACCACAGTTGATTCGTCAACCTGAGAAACAGTGGCCGTGACTTGAACACTTAAACTCATCAACCCTATCTACCGGCAGCTGCAGAGCATAAATGGTCATCAAAGCCAATGACAACAGTGAAATGACTACCAGCGAAGCAAACATCAACAGCCTAACTACCGATGACAGCACCACAGAACGACAAGATTATCGCGCCCAACAACCATTTACGCTTAGTCATTTCAAGCATCAGTGACAAACAGAAGCCAATTTTTTGTTGCTTATCAACGCTTTTCTTGGAAACGACTGATGCGAACAGCTTATCTTCAACAGCTAATCTGAAACAACTAATGTTCAGCACCCCAACAACGGTAACCGATTTATATTAAATAAAAAAAACAGCAGCAAGGAACGCAATTTCGAGACGAATACGACATGAATATTTCAGCATGAAACTCGTCTTGCAGAGGAACCAGGATATTGTTCAAACCAGCGTCTTCGACACCTTCCGCCTTTTCTTGACAGCTACGGTCTTTTACGAGCACGTTGACAACTCTCATCTATCATTTTGAATGGAAAACGCCAGCAACTTACCTTCCGATCGAAGCAATATTTCTGGAAAACCAGCACTCACCTCAGCAGCACACAAAAAGTCTTCTGCAAAAATAATTTCGAATTCTTTTTATCACTTCTCAAATCAGAAAAGTTATAAATAACTTTATAGATTGCAGATGACAGCAAGCTGATGGATTTCAACCAGAGCTTGCATTTCTACCGGAATTTCGCTTTCCAACAGACAAACGAATTCCCTTCAAACAAACAGGTTTGGACATCTTTGAACCTTTCGGCTCCCGATCAGCAGGACATTAAAACAAATGATATGGACTGATTCTGACATGCCTCACCATCCAGGGAGTTCACATAGGAAAGTGTCACTATCTCTAAGCAGACTCATTCGTAAACGCCCTTCGACGCTTCTTCTGCTGCAGAGGCACTCCAAGCCAAATGATTTTCGACAATGGAACTAAATTCACTGCAGCTGAAAAGGTAATCAGCCGACACCACAACGAAGACATTGCACAACATTTTTTTTTGACATTAGCGAAATCTGTTGGAAGCATTTGGGAATGTCTCTTTTATCTGTGGAAGTTTCATTCGACGCAGCACGCGGAAGCCAAGTTTTAGCGACGAAACATTTTCGACAGTTCTATGTGAAGTTGAAACAAATCATGAATTCCCGCCTAATTACAACTGTTTCTCATGCACCAGAACACATAAAAGCACTCACACCGAATCATTTATTCCTCCAGAGAGAGCATGCCAGTATAACAATAATCAATAATATTCAGTCGTCGACACTTGATAGTGGAAATTTGCTCAGCATCTATCCACACACACGTGGGAGCTCCTCATCAAACTCATCCAGAAGCTCATGACACGACAAAAAAGGACCAAGAAAACACAAAGCATCAAGGATGAGGAGCCTGTTTAAAAACTTCAAGACTGAATCCCGCCGATAGGAAAACCAGAGTCATCTCTTTCATAGCATGACGGACAAACGGTAATTTAAACAGTCAGAAACTGACAACAAGTTGCCGAAGTACC